TAGGTATACCTGTGCTTCAAAATTCATCGAAGAGCGAAGATCTAATCAAAACAACCTCGTCCAGGTCGGAGACCCTCCTGTTTTCCTCCAGTGTGTTGTTCACAAACTCTAGTTAGACGTCGTTAACTATCGATCACATAACATTGGACACAGTTTAGTCAGGCTGATTCTACTGTGGTTGTCACTCAAGACGTTTTGTGTTTTATAAACTGGAATGATTAGTGACACAGATAAGTCTGCTACCTTGATGTAGTGGTTTGGCTTGTATATCACGATGACCGAACGAGCTATGTTGATGGAAGGATTGTTCGCTCGAGGTCCTACCATACTACAAAGGTCTGTTGGATAATGATTAGACAAGAGGCAGTTACCCCCACCCTTAACATGTTCTTAAACAATAAAGTGACGCGTTATGATACTTAGATCAGTTATCAGTGGTGATCCAACACAACAGGTATATCCGACCACACCCCATAATACAGGCCAATCTTTGTGGCATCAAAAAGGCCGTACGTGGCGTCTAGCAGATGTCGCCTTGACTCTGCGATCACGCACTAATCCTTCTTTTTCAGGTTCTTTAAGAAGACTTAGCCTTTCACGGTGTAGGCAGCTGGGAAGTTTCAACCGCTCTCACAACTCTGACAGAGCTCAAATTCCCTCAGACCATTATCCACCTCTTTCAGCCTTCAATAGGTTGATGTACTTACTAGGCACGCCTTTTACTGACAGACATTGCCATAAGACTTCTTGATCAACGGAGTCGAATACCGCCTTCGGGTCGAGAAATACAACTATTGTCGGGCGTTGGTAAGAGTGTCTGTGTCCCAAAATCTGGCGAAGTGTGAATATTTGGTCGATACACCCGTGACCGGGTCTAAAGCCTGCCTGCAACTGTGCTTAGATAGCCATTTATTTCTAGCTACCACAAGCTTCAGACATAAAGAAAAACATTGTCTGACGTTGCGTCCACTGAGCTCAACTCAGCGATGAACACAGAGAGACCACATTATACTTAGCCATCGCTGGAGAGGGTCAGTGGGAGATTGCCACTCCTTCTGGAGTACGTGTTTGGATAGCAACCACGTATTGGTCCAAGCACACGTATGTCTGCATCTCAATGGACGTAGGAAAACTTTAGCAACGAGACCATTACGAGTGCAGCTCGAAAATGAGAGCACTAAGACCCTTTTCAGTGAGAAACTGGCTAGACAGTTATTGGAACACAACAATATCACTCATCCAGCAGAAGCTTGGTGCCATCTCCAGTCTGCTGTAAAAACAGCGTCGAAAACCGTAGCCAACCCCGAAAGAGTGGTTAAAAAGAGCCAATGCATATCACCAGCTTCTTCTGATTCAATGGGTGGACGCGAATGTACCCCTTCAGGCTCTGAGTACAATAAGGAGTGAACGCAACTCAAAAGTAAACTGACAAAAAGTCTACGCAATGACAGTGAACAGTGGTGGGCAGCGAAGCCTAAAAATATGGAAAAGGCACCGGCGACAGGCAACAGCAGACGATTATTTAGATTTATCAAGGAAGCCCGCGATAAAAGGTCAACGGTTGGTGAAACTATAACAGAGAAGGATGGGCCTGCGATTCACTTACAAGGGAGACGACTGGGACGATGGCCAGGACACTTCAACTGGCCACCGGCTGCTATTACTTTCTCCACTATCCAAGAAAGCAGTAGGTAACTTGAAACGAAGAACGGTAGCAGATCCAGACGGGTTAGTTCCTGAGGTACATAAGGACGGTGGTAGAATGATTTTAGTCAAGTTAACTCAAGTTTAACTAGTATATGAGAGTCAAATATGATCCTCTCTGATTGGTCTCAACCACTGATTATCCAAGTCTTCAAGAAAGTCGAGAAGTCTTTTTGGGACAACCACAGGGGAATTAGCCTGGGGAACATAGTGTCTAAGATTCTAGGTTCTATAATCATTAGATGCCTGAGTGGAGCTAGGAGATAGTAATCCCGGAAAAACCAGGCAGGCTTTAGACCTGGCCGTGAGTGTATCGACCGAATATTCACAATCCGCCAAGTTCCGAAACACAGATACGTTTACCGACCCCCGACAATAGCTGTTTTTCTCGACCTGTAGGCAGCATTCAACTTCAACGATCGAGAAGTCTTATGGCAGTGTCTCTCACTGAAGGCCCTTTACTAGAACACATGTGGGCGTTAGAACCTATGGTGAGATATCGGGTGAGTTGTGTACGTCGAGTGGTGTCCGTCAAGGGTGCCCACTTCCTTCATTCTTGTTCAATTTTATCATAGATATTCTTATGGAGGTCTCCCTCAAGTCATTTGATTACACAGGGATTGACCTAATCACAAGAGAATTTTTGGTAGACCGAGAATACCCAGATGAAATAGTCCTGTTAGGTGAAGACGCTGACAAGATGTAGAGCCTTCCGGGCACCTAGAGTGTCAATTTGAGAATGTTTGGGATGCGTTTCGCACCTAAACGCAAATTGTTGCTACAAGACTGGCCTTCAACGGGACCCCGACTAACGATAGAGTGTGAAGTAGTTGAGCGCAGAGAATACTTCACTTTCCTAGGAAGTCGGATCAGCCCTGGTGGCTCAGTGGTCGACGAAATCTTTGTACGGATACAAAAGGCTCGGTTGGCTTTTGTCAGTTTACGCCACCTGTGGCACCGCCGCGATATCCGATTGTCTATTAAGAGTCAAGTGCAATGTGTTGCAGTCCGCTCTGTTCTACTGCACGGCTGCGAAACACGGTCACTAAAGGTAGAAGACATGAGAAGGCTTCAGGTGTTTCGTGGAGTCCACATGAGTAACTCAGAAGCCAGACGTAGATTTTTAAAGAGGACAGGTAAGACAGTTAATGCGATTGTGAGCCTTCAACGATTGAGATGTCTGGGACATGTGTAACGTTTGCCTAATCCCCGTCTGCGTCGTCACACAATGTTGGCCGAAGTAGGTTCAGGCTGGAATAAAGGTCGGGGCGGCAAGACTAAAATATGGCACCAGTGCATGAATTCCTTGACTGTTCGTTCGAACCATGTAGAGCGATGCAGACTAGCCGGTTGGGGTAGGCGGGACAACAGAGACCAGTAGTAGGAGACTCTAGGTGATATGGCTCAGAATCGATATTAGTGGCGCAGATCCATACACACATTACTCTCATCCTAACCGCTATACTTAATCTCATTATCTCCTAATTCTTCCTTCTTCTTTTTTACTACTTTCCACTTCTATTTCCTGAAGCGAAATTTCCTTACTTCTTCATCTTCCATTTTATTGCCTTGTTACTTGATGTGCTGATGGGTGTGGCAACCTGGACGGTCACGCAGTAATGCCTGGTCCAATACTGATCTTGATGATGATGACTTCTGATTCCAATGTACTAGGTAGGGCCTCTGTTACTTAAATTTCTAACTCTCTACCTCCATCCTCAAAAACTTCTGGTCGCAAAACGTCAGGTTTTGCTGCTTTGCATCGTTTCAAGTTTGTAACAATCCTCCCAACTTTGAGATTTGGAGGGCCGACATCTACGTCCCATGCAACTTTCGGCTGGATGCCGGGTAAGCGAAGCGTTGCACTCAACATTTTAACTAACTGTTTTGGGAAGTTATGAGGGATCCATCCTTTTAGGTGATGATCTCTCAAGTAAGTTTAAACACATGCCGAGCTTTATGTAATGTTGATGCTTCTTCAATCTTCCACTTTCACCACTGCTCGATGTTTACGTCCAAGCAGTTCTCACTTACATGGTAGTCAAAACCAGCTGGAATGAGTCTACGTAAATCTACTGCCTTTTATTAGCTTCTGAATGTATGTTACTAACTGTCTACCGTTGTTTCCACAAAAGATTGGTTATCTCTCCAAGATTCGTCCGGATGTCAGTTGCTGCTAAATTCAGACAACTTCCTGACCATATCCTTTAAGTATACACTTGGAATTATAATCGATTCCAGCAGTCTTCAATGAAACCTATTTTTTGTATCTATTAGGGTGCAAAAACATACATCCTTGAACTAACGCATGATAAGAACCCAAGGTGATACAAAAACACCAAGAGTCTTCTGCTAACCTTAACCAAAGATATTTCATGAATGGATCACCAATTTGCAACTAACGTTGACTAAATCTCGGAGGAATTTGGAGGTGCAACTTTGACCTTTAATCCTTACCATAGGGTAAATTACCTATAACGGTAACTGCTTTTAGTTTGACTACTATCCAATGGAAATTTGACATGGTAGATCCTCAATTAACAACGTGGTAGCTAGTGATCATGAAGTGTAAATTACTTAGCCACCCAATGTAATACAGCAATCTTTGACGCAGCATTTTAACCACACCGAAACGCACCAATATACGCACCGTACAATAGTAAACATATTTAATACCGTATAAATCATTTTGACTAAGGGAAAACTCAGGAATAAAGTTTCACTGTTATTCCGACCAAAGTCAGTTATAAGTTACTCCTTATTTTCTAAGCTACTCAAGAAACTGCGGCAACAAGTTCATGAAAGGATGCCTATGCAAAGAAGAAAAAGAGCACTTAATATTCTATCTTCGACGTAGTATTTAACGTGTAATAGTACGTCTAGAACCTACTTTACACCGAATTCGCATATTCTTTGCTAAACTGTCTTAGATAACTCAGGTGATAAATGAATCGTTCAAGTTATGTCTGATTACTCCAGCAAAAAATAGCAGGTATATAACCAAAAACCTTTTAATAACACGACATTTGTAGCGAAATTTTCCACCTTAAAGTTACAATTTTCTCACTAACCCATCAGTAGATACCTAATGAAAATTTGCATATATATATATATATATATATATATATATATATATATATATATATATATAAACAGTACTGTTTCAAACCCGTTTCACCTGGTTGTTTTAACTGACACGACGAGGATACACTTGGAAATGAATTCCATAAAATGTTTACACATTATAAACAGAAACAAATACCAAACCACACTCAGTAGGCAAATTGAGCACTAACCTCATCACGATTTTCAAATTCAGTGACATATACTTCCTTGTCACAGGAGTCAGATGTCTGCTTAGGGGAATCAACTGTTTCAGTCAAGGAACTTAAGCAAAATTATGATCTTTCAAATTACCTGCAACAAGGTGGACTATTATTTTGGGATTCGCGAAAATCATCATCCGCAGGTTTGCCACCATAGGTCTAACCCACCATAGATTGTATATTTCAAACTAATTACATACCAACATTTCCTCCACTTCCTTCAATAGATTCATAGTTTTCGCCTCCAACTGCGAGTTGATATATCTTGAAAATAATAAAAGAAGAATGCATACCTGTATTTGCATTCTCTTTCGACATCTGCGTCGCCTCGTGGGAAATCCATCTAATGATAAAGTAGTCTTGTAATTGGCGGCGTCGCGAAGGTCAATTAAAAATACTGTATTAGGGCGTATTCAAAAACATACGGAATGCCGTTCCTACGTTTAACATGGAAAAACCCGTTCTTTAAATGGGACGAAATCACTCAGCCTCTTCTTGAAAAAAATTGCTGATAGACTTACGTTCTCCATAGTGCTGCAATAAGAAACTGCCATATCCAATATCTGTTTAACGAGATTGTGTAAACCAGTTGATTTCTTCTAGGTCTTGCGGGACGGTTCCAGGTCTTAAGCAGATTCTGATGCATTGGATTCAGCCAATTGTCTGCCATACCTCTGATATGCAGAACAGGAGTGTGTTGGTTAGTTTGACAGTTCATTTCTTCAGGTGGCGGGTCGCCAGGCCGCTCCTCAAACTGGCCTAAAGAGCGAGTCAGGCATAGTGAAGATATAACCTGGGAAGACAACTGAATGTGAGTATATTCAAAGAAAAGTGAACTGATGGAGTAGTCTACTTAAGCCTAAGTAAGACGAGATATGTAGAACTAAGGTGGGTGAGGCTAATGCATAGCCTGTGAGTGGGATGAAAAAAGCCCAAATGACTGCAGTAAGAAGAAAACTGGTGTATGGGGCAACGTGGTTGGAATAGTGTAACAGCAGCTGGTTTCTTCAGTCTGGTTTGCACTCCAATTAGATGAGCGTAAACCATGGGTCTCGGAATAACTACCTAGGCTTTTCTTGAGACTTTCTACAGGTGGGGTAGAGACCACCTCTGCCGGTAATGCATTTCAGTGCCCGCAGACTTAAGTGAAGAAGTGCGGATCAGGAGTGCGGAAAAACATGGGCCATAATTTATCCAAATCGTTATTTTTCACCCGCCCCTTTAGCGTTTCGAGGTCGTTCTGTATTGAATTCGACTCCATTTCGCACGTTACTACCCCCCATAACTTGCTGGCATAGAGGCGAAAGGTCATTCGTGAACAGTGGGAATGACAACGGACCCATGACTATCCCTTGTAAGACACTGGACGATGATGTTCTGCAAGTTGAATAGACCCTGTTGACTTTCGTGCAGAACTCCTTATCGTCTAAACAGTCCTGTAGCCACGATAGCACTTGGCCGCTGATGCCCAACCCAGCTACTTTGTGTAATAGGATGGTGTGCGAGACAGTGTCAAGGCTTCGGCAAAACCAAGAAATTGAGTGGACCGGGGCCTTGGGGCCCCAGCGTGCTGTCCAGTGTTCATGGACCGTCAGGAGGTTGGAGGTGCAGGACCTACTCTTCCGGAAGCTGTGTTGAGCATCACCGAGTATTTGCCTTGTATAGAGATACTCCTTGATTAGGTCGTCTGTCACGCTTTCCATGGCTCTTGATATTACTGACAAAAGTACTGTAGGTCTGTAGCAGCCTGGATTCTGCCTGCATCCTCAACCGAAGACACGAGGGACGATGGCGCGTTTCCACCCGCAGGGGTCTTTGTTCGCCTAAGGAGTGTTAGAAGAGACCGCAGAGTGGGCCGCTTGGAGTACTGGCACATTCTGTGAACACAGATGGGTGAATTTTGTCGCATTATAGGGCTTTTTCACGCTTAGCTTTGATAGCTTATCGAAAAAACAGCACGAGCTATCTGCACTTCGTGTAACTCTGCTGAGCCGTATAACGTTGAGGGCTGTTCGAACTAGAGTCAGGATTGCTCTCATGATGAAATATCGGGCCTTGTGTCGAGGGTGGTGCTCAACATTTCGGCGGTCTCCTGTCCGGAGGGGTTTTCTCCGTTCTGATCTTTGATGACGCATGCTCCTTGGCTAGTCGATTTTCTCTTCACTATAGGTTTTCGGGATATACCCCAGGCTTTTTGATGAGGTTGGACTCGAATAACCTCCTGTCTCCCCGCACTCGGATGCTGCATCGGTTTCATACGGCTGTGTCTGCATCATGATATCCTCTTCTCTGGAGAGCCTCCACTTATGCCGTGCTCTCCTCTTGACTTCCAAGGGGTGCTCAGGGCCTCGTTTTAGCTATGAGGTCCACTTCCTGGGCGTCGTCACCACCAAAGGGACGTTTTCAGAAGCCGCTGCCCCAGTGATGTCTCTCACAATTTCTCAGCACTGGTCAACCAATTGGGGGCGCCAACCTGCTGGCCACGGAGTTCTCGATACGCATTGGCCCATTCCTTCGTATTTTGCCCCGTTGTAGCAGAGGTGGGGGCGAGGTCTCTTCCAAGATAACTGTTCGCTGATCACTAGGTCGAACACTACCATAGCATGATTGCTGCTTCCAGGAGGGGTTTGGCCTGGATGTTTTCAGGTAGTAGATGATCACTAGTCAGTAGGTGATCCAGTTTAGATGGTTTACCGTCCGACCCCAGTGAGTATCGTCGCTAACTTCTTCATGCGGCCTAGCCATCCGGATGACAGTTGGCAAGTTGTGATCGAACTTCCTGCTCGGAGCCGTCCTGCTTTCCTCTGGTCTGAGTTTGAGGTGTCGAAGTCGCCGGTTGTTACGACGTGGTCATACCTCAGTCGACATTGTGGATATCGCCTGGAGCAACTTTTGGTTGTGTTCCACGTTACCATTAGGGGACCTATAGACTCCTCCAACCAGGTGCTTGGTGCGTCTAGCCGTGAGGTGGTACTAGATTCAGCCTGGGAGCTGTGTCAATATTTTGCTCACTTCTGAACCAACTGTTCACGTGCACTGAAACCCCCTCCCCGTCACTACTGAACAAATCATGCCACGTATGCTAACTTCGGTGTCGTTAATGTCCGGCGGCAACTATTTTTCTGTCAGGATAATTATTTTCGGAACAAGATAGGAACGGGGGACCGGAGCTCTGGTGTTTGACTTCGGAATCCTCTCGCGCTACTGTAAAAACACCTGGAAGTGTTTCTAGTGACGTGAGATGTCTCCAGAATAGATTTGGATGTGGTGGAGGTTTTGAGTGAATAGGCAGTTCCAACGGAACCGGCCCAATCGAGCTTTCCCCAGGTTAACTAGTGCGGTAGGTGCCCGGTAGAGGTTGCCGGCCTAAATCTTAGCTGTTGCGTCTAGTTCTTGAGGGTTGGTTCTTGCTATTTGGTTTCGCTGCTGTTGGGGGAAAAGAGGCTTCTTCCTTACCGCTTTTAGCCCCCGTGTAAAGAGTATATACTGTCACTTTGTATTTCCAAACTTTGGATTGAGTTGGTCAGGAAGCTATGCATGTCTGAGAAGATTGGAGGTCTCTCGTGATACCCATCTGTGTAGGTGCCTGGATAAGAATCGTAAGATAGAAAAGGTGTGTGGAATGGTCATAAAAATAAAATTATAAAGCGTAGGTTTGGCTATGTGAGGGAGTCACAAGAAAAAGTGGGCTTGTCAAAACAAAGGGGCGGTAAGTAGCATGTGAGTAGAGAGCGATACTGGGCTGGTGAGATTACTGGTGTCCTGAGCGCCTAAATGGTAAGCCATACGAACTACTGTAACTGTTAAGCCTTCTTTGAGGGGGTCCACCACAATGCTGTAGCTACGCGCCAAGGCGCTCCCAAAGGAACACAAGCCTGGCCTGAGTCTTTTACAGGCGAATTAATCGGTTGTTCTGATAAGTTCTCTCGCTGCGACTCCCACGCTAAAGGTAAGATTAGCCTGTTCACGCAACTTGCCCACTGATGATCCTGCGGGCCATCACAAGGCCACCCCTCCTTCTGTGATGGCGCAAAGCCGGTTTAGCGCATCGGGATGTCAGGATGTGTCTTCCCTCTTTGTTCGGCGCTCGCATTTTTTGTGAATCTTTTACTCCCTCGGAGAAACCGCGGCCTTTCGTGAGTTCTGGAACTGCCACCGTATCCAGTACCCACAAATTCAACCACACATGGGATTCGAGCTTTCTGAGCACAAGCCGTAACTTGGCATTCTCTCTGATCGTCATCCCTATATGATGAGAAGCGTTGATTTCAGTGTCGGGGAAGTCGGCCACACACCCTCTTCCATGGACACTTTGGTAATGTTGCGGTTGCTCGATCTGTATTCGTACTCGATCATCCTTACCTCGTAAGTCTTGATGTGTATTACTTCACACCTTCTGGCCCTGGTCCCAAGCGACATTCTGACTACCAGAACTGTAGTCACCGCTGTTCGTTTTCCAGTGCTCTGTAGCTAGCCTGTCCAACTTCTCTTCACCCGAAACACCACGAAAGCTTCGGTGTCGGCAGAGAGGGAGGTAGGTGGGAAAGATATCTGCGGAAGTCGGTGATGAATACTGAGGGCAGAAATGGTCCTGGGATTGCTCCCCGAGATATTTTCAGTGTTAACGGCCCCCACTTGGACCGTATTTTGTTTACTCGTGTGGAGCCGTCAGCCCTCTAAATACGGTTCGAAACCAAACAGCAGGGGTTCGTTTACCCCTGTTGACGCGATCGTTTGGGTCTACATTTTGTGCGGGACACCGTCAAATTCTCCTAACATTTCGAGGGAGATGGCCTATGTTGACTTTCTGATATCCCTGGGGAGGGGGCGGTCACCCCAAGCAATAAGTAACGTATCAACGATTACTCGAAACATATGATGAACAGTATGAATGTTGCATTTTCTGTTGAGGAACTCCTGGATCTTATCTGCTGTCGGGATTTCCGACACGTTGGACAGCATGGGTGGCAAAGTGATCGGTTTAAGGGAACCAAGACATTTTCTGTCTCTTCATCAGAAAATGAGTTAAAAGATGGCGCGCTTCCATCCTTTAGGGTGCCCCATCGACTCCACTGCGCGCTTATAGAGTCCAAAGACTGGTTTCTTGAGGGTTTCAGAGCAGTTCTTCAGGCCATCGATCTTAGGTTGTCACACTCAGGAGACATTTTGGACGGAGCCGGGATTGTTTCCGTGATACATTTGTCTGAGCGATGAGGATATGGCGACGGTTTTGCGTCGACTTGGTGCTAAATCTACTAGGCTGCACTTAAAATCTTAAGGTCAAAACTCCAGCTATTTTTGAGCTGCCCAGTACATCTCCTTTGGGGTCTGCTGTCAGACCAACTCATTTGCTATTTGATTTCATTTCCGACACGAAGGGATACAAGTTCTCAAGTCACTCTGTAACCATCTCATCCGATTTGCCCGACGACTAAACCTGTCAGGCAGCCATTTTTGTTTGGATTCGCCTTTCTATCCCTCTCTTCAGTAAAGGGTTCTAATGAAGGGCTTATGTGCCACTTCTGGGACGCTATGTTGGTTGGTTCAGAGGGTTATCTGCCTCGTCTGTGTCCCCTGTTAGTCTGCTGTGAGGTGATTCCGGTCTTCGAACCACGATGCACCCGTGAGGTAACCTCTCATGGTCTCATGATTGGCCTTACAGTGACAGTGAAAGGTGTTCAGTGTCCCCGGCCATTCAGTCTCTTGAGTTCCTGTGGTGAAGTTAGTTAATAATAATGAATAAGTTTCCATACAAATTACATTAAAAAATCAAAACGCGCAACATTTCCTCTCCAAGGATCTTCAGTTTCTTTCCACAGCCATTAGCATCCACTAACATCTATCACGTCAGACAGACGGACACAAGCATACATATATCCCTAGGTGGTTCCCGGGGCCTGCACCAGTACGCCTTAGAACCCCTGCTTTAGCTTCACCATGACCCCCAGGACTTACGGCAGTATGCCCGGGGTTCCTCTACCGACTACCTTTCACCCAACGCCTCCAGTGGGCTCCTTACGAATGTCTCTAGCGAGCCTTTCCTTCACTTTTCTCAGTACTACTTTTCTAACCAACCCAGCTTCACTGCACGTCACTTGCTATGCCAGTCCTAAAAGCCATATGTTTGTACCTCCAACGTCCGACACTGTCATAACCAGGCCATTTATTCGGATATTCCACTCAGAATTCTTCTAGTTATGCCGTTGTGGTAACAGCGAAACATACTCCTTGGACCAACGTTTCCAAAATATTTCTGAGAGATATTTAGCTTGTCGTCGTCCCCCAGGAAATCTGTCACCTCCGTATGTCCCCCCCAAACCCCTCTAAGTTGTCCCTCAACATCAGTAGCTTTGCTGAAGTTTAGGCCGTTAGGTCTTCAACCCCGAATACAGGTGGAACCAATGAACAGTTACTGATTTTACGAACCGTGCTTTCCCACGACCCGCCTCAGCGGCTTGCCGTTAGGTGAGCCATCGGTTGGAGCTAGATTATCCACATAGAAACTTTCATCAACGACCTCTTTGGTTTCATCATGCTCTCCATACAGGTGGTGTCTATGGTCTTCTTGAGCGCACAGGCCGCGCAGAAAGGCGACAAGACAAGGCAAATTAGTGGATAGCCAACTGACATTCAGCAGCCTCTAGGTGCATGTTACCACGCTTTCACGACAAGAAACGGAATGCTGGTCCGTCAGGTTCCGGAATCCTGACTTGCGATAACATTTCTTTTACGCTGGATTCACCAGCGATGACCCTAACTCCATATCTCGAAAGCACTCAGAAAAGACCGCCAACTTCTTCACATCTCTCGAGTAGATTGGCATCCTTTGCCAATCGTTTCCCTAAACACCCAAGTCTAGGCTTAGCCACTTGTAATTGCCCGGTAGACTAGGTTTGTCAAATCGACAAAGAAGCCCAACCTTAAAATGTCCATCGACTAACGTGGAGGAACTACTGGCAGTTCCAGCTGCCTTGGGGGAAAGCATTACACCAGAACTGCTAATATCTTTGAACTCATGATCATACAACCTCTCTAGACCATCCAACACATTACAGTTATTCGAACGCTGGCCAGAGGCAACTCTACGTGAGGACTTATCTTGCTTCGGTCCAAATACAACCCAGCTTAAATGGGTTTTCATTCCAGACGGCTGTTCTCTATTTTCAAAATGCTGCTCCAGGGCCCGAGGAGCATACGGAACATCACATCCGACTAGGATTCCATCAGCATCACCGAGTAATCAAGGTAACTCCATGCCTCTCAAATGGCTCCAGACATTAATCTACCACTCAGACAGAGTGTACACGCCCGATATTGGTAAGTGACTGACGGAGTAAGCCCTTTGTATCTTCATTGAGCCCAGTCCAACCAACAAGCAGGGTTCCACACCCGCTTCCAGGCATTTGCGCTGGGAAGCCCCACTCACTCTGACCACACTCATGAAGGACGTCCTACCAGTAAGACCTAGATCCTCGACAATGTGTTTGAATACCAGTGACGTGTCCGATCCAACAAAGCATAGGCCTTTTTCCTTTCTTTGGACGCGTCAGTCTCACTGGAACAAGTCGAAAGCTTGCCCTAGGAGATCTTATTTCCCTTGCCAAGTGAGTTATTGGTACAGTTACTTTGGCTACATAGTCTGTCACATGCAGCGAGGAGTTATGGCTCACTTTGCAGCCCTTGAACTCACACTTAAGTCCGAAATAGTAGAACGCAGTTACGTGACCCCTTTTTAGACAACTGTAGCAGACACCAGGTTGTTTGACCGCTGAACTTTTGGTCAATCGGCATTTTAAGTGGCCTCGGACATCCAGGTAGGCATTGGGAGTCATGACGTAAGATGTAACTGGTAGTGCGTATGGTCGTATCACCTGCCAAATGATTGGTACCTCCCACCAAATTGTAGTGCGACATATTCACAAATTGTGGTCCAGAAATCTCCATCCTACTGTCTCCCGAACTGCGTCTTTTCAACAAGCCGTTTATTGACCGAGCTACTCTAGGTCTCTCCTCAACGATGCAAACCAAGTCCTCAAATTCGGGCCCCCTCTCGGTGACCAAAATCCTGACTGTCACTTCAGCCCATCCACCTTGTAAATCTGTAGATAACCACCTGGCACTGGCCCCCAGTTTGACAGGCAAATTCAAGTCTGCAAGGCAGCTTGTCTGTGGCAGTGTTGTTTGTAGGTTTCGAAACTCTACAGAGAACTCTTTCATAACCACGTCGGTACTCTCCACCGAGTTTCCACTTCTAACCAAGTCGTCATTAGGTCATTTGCTCCTGTCCAAACAAATCACGAAGGATTCCTCTAACTCCAGCATGTCAGCAGGCAGTGAGATACATGCCTTCCCTTCACAGAAGTGTGAGAGATCAGTCATTATCTGACCTCTATCAGTAAGCTTAGTCTTTATCATAGTTCTAGAATGACTCAAGCAACGGTTACTGACCGGGCTGACCATCAAAGTACATGAGTTCTGTTTTAGGCAAAGAGATGTTGTTCACAATCAAAGCTAAGCAACTCAAACCCGACGTGAAGTTATTTTGCCTGTCACTGGGTTAAGGTAATCTAACAGCATTCTCAGCCCTGGAATAACTGCCTGTCTTGTCCTCAACTCCTAATGCATCATAAGATGGTACAATGACTGATCCTAATTCCTTTTCCAGCCTTTCCTCATCCGACAAAGGTTCAGGTGCCTATTGATTGATGCAGTTAGGCTTGCTACACGAACCATACATACTGATACCACCGCCATCCATTTTATCTCCTTTATCATGGCACAAAGCACTAGAAAATTCCAAATTACTATCCATAGGTGAGGTTTTCCCCCTACATTTGGATCCTGTATTATAACCCCGATCAGAAGTGTTATTTTGGCGATCAGAATAGATATTTAGAGGAGCAGAATGTCCTAAATGTTGATACTCACTTTCAAAGGGGAATGATCCAAGTTGTCAACCATGGGAGCGCAGCCGAACCGAAGAACTTCTGTAACGGCAAATCCACCGAGTAGCACGTAACGAAGAAACGAATTTCCAGAGTTCTCAAACCCAAAGCGAGACCAACCAAATCCAAAACACTTGGTTGCCAAACAATGAATGTCTGTTCAAACGGTGAGTGGATTGTATGAAAATTGTTCTTTACAACAGAATATGTGTTCAAAACTTGGTTACAAACCTTCGACTTTGTCGGCTACTTCAGTTTTCATCCAAAACGATGTACAATGGTGATTTAGGATTTGTCCTGGTGCGAACTTGACAGACGCAAAGACCAATCGCTAATTATTCGGACTTCTTATATACCCACGAATACGAGACCAAGGAAGAACACGATAGCGTAGTCGGATGGAATAGTATATTTGGATGGTTGTGCCAAAATACCGATGCGTTCCAACTAACTGGCTAGAGTCGAATACGAGCAGTGCAACGTAACACGTCAGCATGCCAAATGGCGAGGATGCTTGACCGGGTGCCTTCAGCTTAGCGAGTCCAGTTAAACTATGAAGGTCAGCATCAATGTCGAAAGTCGTCAAACCCTAGGCTTTTGATTTTGAGGAAGTGTGTGACGCTACAGTGACTCCGATGGAAAAAAGAGGTTAAGAATGGTTACAAAAGCAGACTGAATGAAGTCGAACAAAACGAGAGGTCAATGTTTTTGAATACACTACAAGAACAAAATCAAAACACATGTGACAACTGACACTATACAACAAATAGTACATTGAGACTGCGGTAGAACCAGCTGAGAGCTGATGTGTCCATTGATTAAGTATGTTGACCGAGGAGCATACTTCACCACTGCAGACCTCAAACTGCCCCTTAATATGTTTTACTACAACTATAAAACCTGTCTTGGTACCATTCTTCCATCAAAAGGTTTGAAAAAATGCCTCCAGACGATAAGCCATATATATATATATATCCCAGTGCTCGTCGAAATTTACTCAAGCTCTCGATGATATACTACTGACGTCATGATTTTGATGCACTTCTGTCGATTCTCGATATTCTTAACTCTGTCTCTCATAACCACGAAATGCAGATGAAGAGTGAAGAGAGTAGCACGCTAGCTAGCTCATTTCTTGAGAATTTTCAGCCAGATTAATTTTCCCATCTTGTAGATTCTAGTGATACAGTCTTCATAGTAAGATGTTATGAGGTATATTAAGCATTTCCAAGAAGTTATCTTATTGGACCAAACTTCATTATCCCTTGTTTAAAGTCATGTATGGTCTACCCTTGAGTAAATAGCTGGTTGACCCTGGTCTTCCTGTGGCTCAACAAGTCGAGTTTGTACTATTGTATTTGAGCATATATTAATCAAAGGTAAAGAAACTTGGGGTACTAACTTATACAGACCAGAATGCCCGTAGAACTGTTCGCAGGTTTCTTTTGGAATTAAAATTTTCAGAACATTTCAGTTTACCGATCGGTTACACGACTATTTCGAAATTGTAGTATAAACACATGTTTATTATCTCAGTTGAATTAGGAAATGTGTTGAGCTTCGCTGACTTGCCGAGGGGTTTTAATTTCTCCACAGTACTGTTGGAGAGTATATTAAGCTGGTACTGTTGAAGTATTTGTTAAAATGAGGAATCAGTTTTTGCATGATAGCTTTTCGCTAATGATCGAGTTTGTAAAACTTGCCATGAGATTTTATATCTTGAGGGCGAATGAATTGGGAATAGAGAGCTCGACTTAAATTGTCCGTCAATGGGTTGTCTATTCTTATAAGCTTTCCATAATAATGGTAAACAATAACCTTATTGGGTTAAACACCTTAACGTTTTCTATTGATTGAGATTTCATTTTAAGGCATAGAAAAGCAAAAAGATAGGGACTTTTTTCAACACGCTCTGGATATAAGACACAGTCATTGGATTTCTTATGTTTTATTTGTTACCAATAAGGAAACTACAAGAGCAAAGTCCTAGCTTTTTAACCCAATTTTTAAGTCCTCATGGCTTGTCCTGATTATTTTTAAAACCTAAGCTGCTAACTCTAGATAAACGTAATGGTTTCACCTCTTTGGTTACTTAGTCCTCACTATTTACCGAAAACAAACTTTTCCCATGAAGAATAGTGAATCTTTATACTAAGCCACTTATTCTTTGAGTATAGTATACTAATACGTGTATATCTGTGTAGAAGAATGCAAACTTCCCTGGTTGGCTTCTGTACGACACCCGAAACCACTGGTAAAAAGACTAGGTGAAAAGGCTCAAAGTCGGTCAGATTATCATAGATGGATTCACACGTTGTCTTCACGTTAATCACCATATTGGACATCACTATATTTTCATCGCTTTTTACTCTACTTTCTACTACTTTCCATTACTTTTCTCCGTATTTCTCTATCTTCTATGTCGCTGCCTTCTATACTGAAGTACTGAAGTGAGGTGTAGCAACTTGGATTACTATGGAGTGATGCTAGGTCCTAAGTTGATGCTGACTGACTTAGTCCACGATAAGTGTGTCTTCTATGCCGCATATGCTCAAATGTCCCGATATTTGTTTTTCTCTGTAGTATTCTGATATGCTTGAGACTTGAGATTTCTAACAATGTGCTATGCATTATCTACTCGATAGCTTATTGAACAGTGTATATATTGAAAGCAATGTGCTTTGTTCCAGTTTATGGTAATGAAAAATCTGTTGCAGCTGGAGAGAGTCATTTTAAGTGTCTCGAGCAAGTTATGAAAATCACAGGTTGCTTAACTTCTATACTAGCCATTAGTACCAATGATTATTTTATAGTGATACTTCTCATTTCTTTTAATATTCTCTTCAGTTTCGTATGTTAGTTCATCCACCATATTTATTGTTTTTTTTTGGCAGGAATAACAGTGTGTTCTAGATGAGTGTTCCAAACGATATTGCATTGTATGATTTGTCGGTCAAAGCAGGTGTTTCTATGGACAACAAAGTTTTCAGGTATAAACTGTCTTTTGATTCGGTTGTTTATTTGATTTGGTTGTAATAAAATATTTCTCATAGGACTGAGAAAAATTCAATAATGAAAAACGCCACTAATAAACACACCTCGCTTAACCAACTGAGTTCACAAATTTAGTACGTTTTTGGTTTTAAAGATGAGCTGGCATGCTGAACTTCTCAAAGAATCTTTGAAAACCTTTAGGGAGTCTTTTTGTCTTCTTAGGTATTAATTAATCATTTTTCACAACAGCTTTCAGTCACTGAAGTATTGCATATAATAGACCATTGATTTTTCATATTGTGACACGCAGTCTTCAAAATCAGAAACTGCCACCTACACTGCAGTAAGTAACTGCATTGTTTTGGAATTTCGTCTATTGTATTCGGTATAATTATCACTGCGTTGATGCGAATACTTGAATCCAAATATGCTTTTATTCAGTTAGTGGGAGCAATGAACACAAACGTTTTAGTACCTAGTAACAACAACACTAAGTCGGACATATAATTTAGTTACCACTGTGGTTTTTTATGCGATGAAATAACAGTAACAGCATTCTGTTTAACAAGCAAAAATATTTATGGACGTGTTCGGAACTGTGTTATACTTCGCCACACATACATGAAAACTGACTCAACGACCGATATTTTAATATAACAATAGAGTCTTCATCTTAGGTTGTTGTTGAAAAGTCTAGTTGGTGGACCGTTCACTTGGGCACTTTACTTCCAGGCAATAAACCCAGAGCTCGAATTAACCATCTACTGTTGACCCGGGTAATTGGGTGGTATTATAAGCTGTTACATTGTGTCATATGTAGTGTAGTGTGCTTATTTGCACTGAGTCGTGACTTGCATTACAATATCTGTTGCAAATTAAATTCTTTGCCTTAAAATTGATTATAATGCGTGCTATGAACGAAAGCCAATCCTACTCCCCCAGTTACCTGACAGAAACGAAGTCGTGAATTAATGGGTCCACTATTTAGGTTAAAAACAGGTCTGCAAGCCTGAAGGCATGCATCCGATTATGGTATGAAAAATCTGGGATACAGTAAAATACTGAATTTCGCTGCATGAAATGAAATGAGCGTTTTTAGGACATACGAGAGCTAATTGAGATTTTGAATAGTATCTGATAATAGCCTGATCAGGTGAGTTATATAATATTTCGGTTCCCATTAGGGTAGTTAGGATGCAACAACAGATGTTAACCCAGTACAATTAACCGTTTCAAAGACTTACAACCTCTCGTCTTTTACGTAGTCATAGTATCATATTGTAGTACATGAAATAAAAACCATTTGAACGGCTACCGAAGCTTGTGTTGTGGAATAAGTTCTGCATTAAATCTTGGTTTTAATAAGTATACATATATTTGTCAAAGATGAATAGGATGCAGAATATGCAATTTATAATCATAAGAAAATGGTGCCCAACATCTTTTTTTTGTTGGAAAACGGCAGTTGAAATCTATACGAAGCTTTATCTCGTCTCATCTGGTTGATATTTGTATCAAAGGGTGCAAAGTGAAAGAGTTCAAAGTAATTTATCTAAGTTTCCCATTGGGATTCAAACTCATCTCTTACATACTGCTGCAACTATAAGAATTTGAAAAAGCAGTTATAACCTTTGCATGCAGAAGGAATTTGCATCACTGTTTGATGACGATCTTTTCCAAAAAATAACGGTCTATTTTCTTCTTTGAGATGCGGCATATTTCAATTTTTAAGTTCTCCAGATTCTTGGTTATGTTTACCTACTGCCTTGTCTACATCAAGGCCCACACAATAAAGGAAATCTAAGTGACATGTGAACCTCGCCTGGTTAACTAGTTTACTAGTTACTAGCCGGTCCTAAGCCCGGGTAAAGAGGGAAGGTTGGGCATAGGGCTAGCAACCCTACCCCGTAAAACAAATCTAACCGCTAAAGAAACTTCAAAGCACAAACAAAATATAAAAAATGAAAACAAACTTATTCCCCGCTGGAATCGGAGAGGCGAAATGACGCCAGTTGGTGAAAGCCTTCGGGAAGCCAATTGGCCGATGTGTCTTCTCTCGATGAAAGCGAAAGTAAACGTGGGGACATGGAATGTCCGCACGATGTTTGAACCCAGTAAGGCAGCCCAGATTGCAAGGGAGATGAGAAGGTATAACATCGAAGTGCTTGGGATTTGCGAAAGCAGATGGAATGGGAGTGGACTCTCCAAACTGTCAACTGGAGAATCAATAATCTACTCCGGTCACCCAGACGCCAACCACGAGCACACTGAGGGAGTGGCTATCATGATGTCCTCAAGAGCATCGAAGGCTCTCATGCAGTGGGAACCAATCTCCTCCAGGATCATGACAGCAAGATTCAACTCAAAAGGAAGAAAGGTCACAATCATACAATGTTATGCACCTACAAATAATGCAGAGCAAGAGAAAAAGGAGGATTTCTACAGACAACTTCAATCAACACTGGACAAGACGTCAGTTGGCGATATCAAAATTCTGATGGGCGACATGAATGCCAAACTGGGAGGGGACAACACGGGAAGAGAACTAACCATGGGTCGAGAGGCACTAGGTGAAATGAATGAGAATGGAGAATTGTTTGCAGAATTCTGCGCATTCAACGATTTGGTGATTGGAGGCAGTGTGTTCAGGCACAAAGATATCCACAAAGCGACATGGATTTCACCAGATGGACACACTAAAAATCAAATCGACTTTATCTCAATCTCAAGAAAATGGAGACGCAGTCTACTTAACACGAGGTCAAGAAGAGGAGCAGATGTAGGTTCAGACCACTACCTAGTGCAAGGAACCTTCCAAATCAAGTTAAAAGCCTTCAAGGAAGCTGGTGATAGACCTCAATTCAAGTACAACACTCGGAAACTGAAGGATGAAACTACAAAGGAGATCTTCAAGGCAGCCATCAAGACAAAATGGGAGACATCGAGCAACATCCCTGAAGAAACCTGTGTGGAAGAACATTGGAAGTCTTTGAAAGCTATGTGGAAAGAAACCTGCACAACAGTATTAGGAAGGAAGAAGGTGGAAGACAAGGAATGGATCTCGACGGATACCTGGAAGCTGATAGAGGAGAGGAGGATGGTGAAGCGGAAGATAAACCAGTGCAAGGATGCTCAACGACAAGAGGAACTGAGCACAATGTATAAAACACTGGACAAAGAAGTGAAGAAGAGTGCACGCAACGACAAAAGACACTTCTACGAAACACTGGCAAGTGAAGCAGAACAGGCTGCAGGTAAGAGAGACCTGACGACATTGTATCAAATAACCAGGTTGCTGTCAGGGAAGAGACCAACACAGATGAAACCAATAAAAGATGAAGAAGGAAATTTAATTACAAAAGAAGAGAAACAGAGGAAACGATGGGCCGACCACTTCAAGAAGCTCTTGAATCGACCACCACCTGCACTTCGTCCAGAAATACCACCTGCAGCCGCTGAACTACAAGTGAACATAAATCCCCCAACGAAAATGGAAGTCCTGAACGCCATAAAGCTACTGAAATGTGGGAAAGCAGCAGGACCAGATGGAATACCGCCAGAAGCACTGAAAACAGATGCAGAGACAACAGCGGCCATGCTCACACCACTATTGCAGAAGGTGTGGAAGGAAGAGAAGGTACCTGACGATTGGAAGAAGGGTTACCTTGTCAAACTGCCGAAGAAGGGAGACCTCAGTGCTTGCAAGAACTGGCGCGGAATCACTCTCCTGTCCACCCCAAGTAAAATATTAAGCCGCATCATCCTGGAGAGGCTAAGGGATGCACTGGATTCAAAACTACGACCGGAACAGGCAGGCTTCAGGAAGTACAAATCATGTGCAGACCAAATTGCAACGCTTCGCATCATCATAGAACAGAGCATAGAATGGCAATCACCTCTCCACCTCAACTTCATCGACTTTGAGAAGGCCTTTGACAGCGTCGACCGAGAGGTAATTTGGAAGCTGCTTCATTACTACGGAGTGCCGCAAACCTTTATCCGCCTCATTCAACAACTATATGAAGATGCCACATGCCAAGTAATCCACAATGGGAAGCTCAGTGATGCCTTTGAAGTGAAGACAGGAGTGAAACAAGGTTGCCTACTATCCCCCATGATATTCCTTATTGTGGTGGACTGGATCATGCAGCAAACAGTAGGCAGCGAGAAGAGGGGGATACACTGGACGACGGAAAAGAACCTAGAAGACTTGGATTTCGCCGATGACTTATGCCTAATGTCACATAAACTTGAAGATCTGCAGGCAAAAACTAACAAGTTGATAGAAGAGGCAGCGAAGACGGGACTTCAGGTGAATATAGAGAAGACAGAAGTGATGAAGATACCGCACCACCACCATCAACAACAACAAACTCCAATCACTGTCAACGGGAGAAACTTAAAGGAAGTAACCTCCTTCACTTATCTAGGAAGCACTGTTTCAACTACAGGCGGGACGGACGAGGACGTCAAAGTCAGAATCGGAAAAGCAAGACAGGCATTCATTAGCCTGAAACCAGTGTGGAGATCTTCTGCACTCAGCATGCGGAACAAGATACGGATTTTCAACACCAACGTCAAGTCAGTGCTCTTGTATGGCTCAGAGACTTGGCGCGTCACGAAAGGTATTTCCAATAAACTACAGACATTCATCAACAACTGCTTACGCTCGCTGCTGAAGATCAGATGGCCAGAAAAAATAAGCAACAAGGAACTCTGGGAACGAACCAACCAAGAACCTATCACGCAACAAATATGCAGGAAGAAGTGGAGATGGATTGGCCATGCACTGAGAAGGCCGACTGAGGACATCACGCGTCAGGCCCTCGAGTGGAATCCCCATGGGAAGCGACGAGTTGGACGTCCAAGGGTGACATGGAGGAGGTCGTGCGAGGAGGAAATGAGAGCTTCTGGGCTGTCGTGGGACCAGGTTCAAAAGATCTCAGAGAACAGAGGTCACTGGAGGCGTGCTACTGAAGCCCTATGTTCCACTAGGAACCCAAGGGACTAATAATAATAATAATAATAAAAGTGACATGTGCGTTTTCACAACATACTTTTTGTGTGTCGTACTGAACAGAAGCTTCAGCATAACGATTATTCAGAAAATAAAAAGACCGAAACTAGCTGGAAGGTGTATCAGTGTTGTGAAGCCAATCTAAATAAGGCTTGAAAGTAGGAGTATTACAAACTACATGGGAATTAGTCTATAAAATGTTGTTGGCCTACAAATCATGAACATTTTTTGACTATAAAATGCCGAGTGTAAATTTGGGGTGTTTGTGAGCCGTATTTAATCTTACACTTTGTATTGGTAACTTTTGGTGAGATCTGCGTTACTTTCTGAAACAAGTAGTTACATTAAGAGGCCCCCCTTCAGGCATTTGGTACGAAGTTTAAAGTGAAAAGCAGTAAAGGGACATATGGAGTTACACTCCTATGGTTTCGCAGTCAAAAATATGCCATTTAATGTAAGCTATTTGTTTCTTTAAAATTATGCATCTCATACTTGTAACAGTGGTTTGCAAGTGTTTTTTAAGACTACCTTAGACTGACCGCTCGTATTCACCGGTTCTCTCTCAAATGTCATGCATCCAAACTACGTCTTCGTTTGCGTGGGAGCCACCCTCACTCTAAGAAACAGTGATCACAACTTGCTTGAATTAGGTTATAAACATGCATCGAAGCATTTAAAAACAGAAAATAATGAATAGTGCGCTAAAAGCTTAAAAGAGTCTAGTAAAAAAGATCAAGGTATCGAACATGGAAAGTAATTGAATAAAATAATAGGAAGATGCTGGAAAGAAAGAGTTCAAATTTCTATAATAGTGATGTATAGTGGTTAGCAGTGGAATCCAGGATGCACGATCAGATTTTGATGTGTGGTTAAGCATGAGAATACGTATTTCACAGATTTTTCCCATTGGTAATAGGTTTAGCATGATGGAAAATAGATTGTTTGTTACGATATGCATCCGACTATCACGAGTGATGTAATTTATTCAAAAAGTAAATGATCTATGCTATATTGCTCACTTAGTCTTTTTTTAAAACGAGTTGATAAGTATCGTCTTTGTTAGTATGCATTTTCAGCAATTTCTTGTTAGTAATATTTCAGCATAGGCACTTGATAGAATTTGACAACGATAGTGATCGTAAAAACAAAATTATGCAAGTTCAGACGTATTGTTTGTAGTTCTTCATCGTTCCCTATAAAGAGCCGGAAGGTGGAAAATTATTTTAACAAGTGGACAGTACGACAAGCTGTATAGCTGGGGGTGGGGTAACAATAAGGGTTTTTTGGTGAGACACAACTGTTCTTTGTGTACTGACCGAGCACTTTTCTCGAAATTGTTGTCATCGTAACAGCTTCTATGTGTTTATTTTTGTAACTGACGTCATAGAAAGTATACTACCAGAGAAAACACTCCTGTCGTAGAGTTGAGTCACGAGTAATATAATTTTGATGATCATAAGTGTTTATAAAAGATGTTTTCAAAAAAGACATATTGCTTAAGCTATGCTTTCCCAGTTATCACAATGAAAGTATAAACCACCTAATTGTGTCATGTAATAAGATCGTGTACCAAGTATTCTACTATCTTGATTTAATGCATTTAAATGATAGTATTTAAAAGCCTGTGCTTTGAACTTTTAACCATTTGATTTGGAGGTCTGTGGGTATTTATTTATTGATTTGAGGTGGGTATTCATCATGGACTGACATCCGTTGGGGAAACATTGCAAACCATAGAGCACTGGACAGCTCTTTCGCCCTAGTACGGGACTCAGCAGTGCCCACTGATGACCCCTCTAGGGATCGAACCCATGGCCTTCAGATTCCACAGGCATGATGTTACCATTGAGTCACTGGGTCGGAATCCAATGGTCTACATCTTTCTACTTCTATCAGTTCATGGTATAGCCTGATCTCCGGTAAATGTCGTCGTTATGTAACTGTTCTCACATCCAGCTTGGTTGACCCCACCAATCACAATTTCTCACTTAGTTGTAAAATCGAACGCCAGTTCACCTATTTCTCATTCTGGATAGTCAGATGAATAAAACAATGAAATAACCTAAAACTACACACAAAAGTGAATCTGCACGTTATTATTATTATTATTATTATTACTATTATTATTAGTCCTTTGGGTTCCTAATGGAACATAGGGCTTCAGTAGCACGTCTCCAGTGAACTCTGTTCTCCGAAATCTTTTGAACCTGACTCCACGATAGCCCAGAAGCTCTCATTTCCTCCTCGCACGATCTCCCCCATGTCACCCTCGGATGTCCAACTCGTCGCTTCCCATGGGGGTTCCACTCGAGGGCCTGACGTGTGATGTCCCCAGTAGGCCTCCTCAGTGTATGCCCAATCCATTTCCACTTCCTTCAGCATATTTGTTGGGTGATAGGTTCTTGGTTCGTTCGTCCCTAGAGCTCGTTGTTGCTTATTCTTTGTGGCAATCCATCTGATCTTCAGTATTGAGCTAGCGTAGGCAGTTGTTGATGAATGTCTGTAGTTTATTGGAAATGCCTTTAGTAACGCGCCAAGTCTCTGAACCATACAGGAGCACTGACTTGACGTTGGTGTTAAAAATCCGGATCTTGTTCCACATGCTAGGTGCAGAAGATCTCCACACTGGTTTCAGGCTAATGAACGCCTGTCTTGCTTTTCCGATTCTGGCTGACTTTGACATCCTCGTCTGTGCCGCCTGTAGTCGAAACAGTGCTGCCTGCCTAGATAAGTGAAGGAGGTTACTTCCTTTAAGTTTCTCCCGTTGATGGTTGGAGTTTGTTGTTGGAGTTGTTGGTTGGGTATCTTCATCACCTCTGTCTCCTCTATATTCACTTGAAGTCCCTTCTACGCTGCTTCTTCTGCCAATTTGTTAGTTTTCGCCTGTAGATCTTCAAGTTTGTGTGACATCATAGTAGTTAGTATCCTCCTATACCATATGTAAACAAGTTTTACGTTAGTAAAACTGATTATTCCTTCTGTGTTACCATAATAGTTATATAATTTACTTTCTATCCACCATTATTTTTTTCATCAGGAAGATATACGAGCTGATTTCCCTTGGTTGTAGTCCAGATGTCATTTTTTCTATGCTGAAATACCTTGCATCAGTTCATTTAAACGTTTCCAGTGATCCAGTTGATTATAATTCTACCTATACGCCGACCATCGACAGAAGTAATGAATATCAATATCATCAGATGAGTGCATTAAAATGTAATGATAACACATTGGTATCAAGTCGGAATTTAGAATCACAACAAACTATTCTCACCAATTCCAGTGATTGCGATCTGCCTTTTAATCAACAAAACTGTGAAACATTTACCATTTTATCAAACAAATCAAGAGGCCTACCACCATATACATCAAATTATAACCCACAATAGCCTTGGATGAAACTAATATTTCACTTGCCGTGTAGTCTTTTATACTTCACGCATTGTGTATATACATAAGTGATAGAATGCGTTTTTGAAGAAAGATGCTTTCATATCACATTTGAAACGTTTACTGTCGTTTATTTCACCACAGCTTCATATATTCTAATTTAAAGATGGCAACATATATATTATTACAAAAAAAATAGGATTCTTTTTCAGTATAATGTTGTAAATTGTATCATTACCTTGAATGAAGAGAGAAGCTGTTTATTCATACTTTATCCTTCCTCATATTTTTGTTTTTTGGTTGAAGAAAATACATTTAAGCAAATAATAAGTGATTCAAAGGTATCTGTTGAGCATTTCACGTTGATATGCCTTTTCTCTTTTGATTTGTGTTGTTTCACGTCGTTAGAGAAACATGAAATGAATTTCCTGATTGATTTTTACTAGTAGTGTTGTCATTTGCCCTTGTATCAAGATGATATTCGTTTTCTAAATAAATATAAAATGCATTGGTGTGATTAAAGTTCACTTATCCTTATCATTGACAAATAAGTTTTCTGAAATAATTATTATTCAGGCAATAAAAATCTGTAGCAAATTGTTTCAAATATTACTAATTAGTTACCTCTATATTGTCAACTCACCAAAGTTACCGACTACTGTTACGAATTGTGTCCGGGTTCACGGGGCACTAGAAATAAGTGACTACCGATCATAAATGATATGGCTAAAGATGGGTCACAGGCAACAGTTTAGAATCTTGGACAAGAATTCACTTGTTTGCGTTGCCACAATGGACACCAGCTTTGAACGAGGAAATCAAATGAAATAAAAAGATAGTGATTTAAACTATGAGGACTATGGTGGAAGTTAAGTTTAAAGTGATAAGATACACAAACTCTAAAAGTATAAACCCGTTTTCGGTTTCGAAAAATTCTGAACCGTCCTACTTGAAACCTATAACCCTTGAATGCAAGGACCTTGTAGATATGAGTCACATAGTGTTTACATGCAGATGTGGCTTAAACCGAAAATGCAACCTTTACTGGCATTTTTCCAGCCTCTCTATGTCCGGAAACTCAGTAACTGACTTATACTTACTGTCTGAAACTACATCTAACCCCAACACATCACTTGTTGCTTCGTCGGTGCACATGAGATGCTTCAAAGATACCTGTGATCATGTGGGCTTACTTTGTTTTCTTTTGAACCACAATCATCCCTTTCATAATTTATCTCTCATTCATTCATTCATTTGTTTGTGTTTTTAAATTTTAGTATGTTCCTCCATTTTATTAGGAATCAATCTCTTCACTTGCCGTATTACTTGTCCTGCTTTTAATAGCACCATCTTACTGTTCATTATGCGCTTCAACTTTCTAAATATCGAGTAATCCTATGGGAGATCGATAATCAGTTATCGACTTCTAACTTAAATTAACTTATTGAAATGTTATACTAGATGTATCTTAGAAATTAGATACTACAAGTTCAACATTAAGTATAGTTGCTTATCGGTGAAGTAAGATTGTGACGTGTACAAATAAGGCACCAACAAAAAGGTGGAAACGAAAACGATTTGAGGTAGTGCAAATTAATTGAAAACAAAAAATAAAATAAGGGGAATAAGAGATATTCCAAACACGATCTGTAACATTAATATGTAGTGATTGAAGTCAGCATGCCACATCAGTATGCTGACAGGAAGTAGTCAGAGATAAGAAGAAAATTGGGATATTCCACAGTTGCCACTCTCATTCTCATGCACTGGGTAATGAGCCACACTTTTATGTAGACTAAAGATACTACTTATCTGCCCAGGCCTCAGTAGCTGGGGCGAGATTCTGACGGGTTATGCATTTTTTGAAAGTTAACTACCTAGACCAATGAGCGACAACTGCACAAATTGAGCAAGAAAAAACAGCTAGAGGGGATAAGGATATGAAGCAAACAAAGGTATGTGGTGTTATATATTGGAATAAGATAAAGTGTAGGGACACCTGATATGTTACGATCTACTATGAGCTATGCTATATAGGACTTGACACCGGTTTCGATTATACTGCGGACTGGAACCAGGAAGCGTACATGACTGATATCACGAGTCTAGGACTTTATGGATTAACATGAAATCTTCGTTTGGTCACTCTTAGCTTTTCCCGATTTAGTCCTATTTCAGTCATCAAGGTAGGCGATGGTCTAGCATATCCCAACTATCTCAAACGATTCAAGCTCGCATCCTCCTTTGCTGTCCACGAGCTATACTATTAAGATGATAATGGTCAAATATCAGAGATTCTCACAGTTCTCCCATCCTTACCGGACATATTTCACAATCGGTATACTCGAGTCTAATAGACATTCGAATATCTCACCGGCGCTATGAGTAACATAATTTGGTGAAAGTGAGTCGAACATTTAGTATCCATTCCAAGACTTTATCGGCCACTGACTTGAACTGATTCCTCTCAAGCGAGTAAAGTGGCTAACAGGCTCAGCCACTAACTATCCTTACTATGAGAAGGAAGTAGTCTAGTGCTGAAGCAGCAGTTTATCTTCAGGAAGTTAGAATCACCTCGCAAACTTCTCATTATCGCCGTTTTCACCTAAAACAACTATGTTGCCCACACACTCAAAGTTGACTAGATTGATGAGGAAGTCAGTTCTTGTAGAGCTAAATGAGGAGAGCGATGCTTGTTAGTATATCTATGATAAAACTGAGAATCAATCGAGAAATTGGACACCTTGGATAGATAATATTCTGTCAGAATCTCACTCGTTTCAAGGAGTATTCGGGCATAGAACTCAGTAATGTAGTGTACTTGTCAGATATCATAAAACTTAACATGGAGCAAAAGATATCCAAAATTCAAACGAAGTTTAAGTCTGGAGGCATCTGAGAAAGTCCTAAGAAGACGTCCCTATCAATTTGTTTATTAATTAATTTAAGCCAGCTAGTGGATTTCCTAAACACTCGGTAAACTTCCTGCAGCCGCTAAAGCTAAAAACTTTATCAGTACGAATTTAAGTAGTATTGTGGTGTGGAATTTCATAAAGACACTAGTATCAGACCAATTAGATTATCATGTTAACCAAAAGGAGTCGTGGTCTCTTCAAGCGAAATTCAAGTATAATTCACTGATATCTTATGGGCTGATCATAAAGGTTCAGTGTATATGCCTTAATTTGGCTAACTTTTTCCTAGTTAGTAGGCATTTTCCTTTGTAAACGTGATCAATAATTCTAGCGATATTATCAATGATACACAAGATATGTCTAGTATATTGAAACAACCAATGATAACATACTGTAAACCAGAAGGTTCTGCATAACCCACGATCCCATATTGAATCCGTTATTTGATATCACATGATGCAAATCGTTAACTGATTTCAAATGTTAGTGAATACGTCTTGGGATTACTAGTAAGCCAACTGTATGTATTCTACAATTCAGTAGAATTTGACGTATTAAACTAATTATTTGTATATCAGAATGGTTGATAACAAATTGTCCATTGACTTCAACTATTTGATGATCTGGTTGAAGACCAGCCTTTTTAGCCGATGAATTAACTGCTACAGCTGTAATACATCCATTATATATCTGAAAGCCTAAGTCACAATAACTATTCAAGGCATTGCTTTCCTGTCTACACATGGTTAACTCATCGATAACTGGACATGAACCAACGTTGATGATAAAGTATTTTAAGAAAGGACAAGGTCTTGTTCGAAGGTGAAATACATCGTTCGGTTGGGCAAATCGTGCAGCAGTTGACAGGTTCGTTTATTTCTTTTAATACACAGTGTTTTAATTCCAAAATTTGATCACCATAGTGTACATTTGGACGTATCATACATTTACTATAGTCCATGTATGTAACATAGCACTTTTTATTTGGAAAAATATTAACTAGAATTCCACTGCAGTTTTGTTTTCGATAAACATTTTCTTCTCGATAAACTCTAAAGTTCAAATCTTGTGGAAAAACGTGATGTAGCTGACTGAGAAATAATGAACACCATTTTTTATGAAGTCCCATATCTGCAAGGTAGCCATGAACTATTGTTAATGGTAAGCGATTAATGCGTATTTTCGGCGTTCTTCGACTAGACAATGAGAGTGCTTGAAGTGAATAACTATTTACAATGACAGGATCTCGAGGAGTTAAACTAAGTTGTGCGCCTGAAAAGCATACTTGACGTTTTCCAAATGGATCAGAAGGACCTCCACTGTTTAACCTAGTTGAATAACCTGGCAGTTCCCCACTCCATATTCTATGCACTACTTCTTCAATCGTTATGTCTGTTTAGTTATCTGATTTCATGTTACTTTTTCAAATTTTGACTCAGAATCACAGGCGTATATTCCCTTTTCAAATTGCATACCCAATCTAATCCATGTGCCATGAACAGGACAAATAACAGGAAACTCGTTACAGTTAGGTGGATCTGGCTATTCAAGTACACAGTTTGCTGTCACACAATCAATTGGGTTATAATGTTTATGCCAACTGGGGAGTAATGTATTCTGACTCATAAAGCGTTGATAATTCACAATTCTGCCAAAACCGTAATTAGGAAAATCCAACTAATGGAATAGGCTGATCAACGTCTAAGGTTTATTTATTTCGATTTCGTTTTATTATTGATTTACTAGGTTTAAAACGAATTTCCTAAACGCCTTTATTTATTGAAACAACTAAAGAATATTTCATAGTACAGTGAGAAACTAAACAAGGTGGTCTGCAGATTTCACAAGCCATGTCAAAATGACATTGACACTCAACGGTGTTTTCTCATATTCGATGTTGAGCTCATGAGCAATATATCTAGACGAATTCAATAAATGCAACCGAATTATTGACAAACTTAACTTATCAGTGAAATGTGAGGATCAACTTGATCTGTTTTTATCTATTCATGTTGTTCATCAATATACTTTATCAGTTTATCACATTAATGTATCACAGATCATATCTATGACTTTCATTAGTCAGTTTTCAACGAGAATTGTGTTGACAATACAGTTAAGCAGTAGAAAAACTACGTAGCTGTAAAAAAAGATTTCAGCGTGGAATGGTAGTTCGCAAAATATTTATGCTTTATAGAGTTTGGTAAAAATTTAAAAAACACAATCTATTTTTCAGTATGAGATTTGTTTATTTGATATACAGCACCCACAGTGATACATTATTATTTACTTGATGACGTTTCAAGCATAAATTATTGCCCATAATCACACCAATGAGATCACACTCCTTCCAACAATCTATTTTTATAGTCCTGTTACGTCATATTCTTTGTTTTTGTTGATAGTAAAGCTTTCCATATCTGTGATGCAGGTGTTGCATCTCTCCTATTACATGTGTTGGGTGTTGATTCGATGAACAGAGATTCAGTAACCAATCTCTCTCTCTCCCCTAGTTATGCTAGAATTAATTAATAATTAATTATGTGTATGAATGCCGTGGGCTTAACTGCACAAAAATTGTCTCCTATGCTTGGGAAGGGTGATGGCTGCAGTAATGTTCCCCGACTGTGCACACAGAAGCCAGGTAAAGAGAAAGTACTTCGATATTGTCAACAACCTTTTGAGGTCTTACCAGGTAAGCATGTAAGAAGGCTACGTATGTGTTCCTGAGGTAGTCCTGAAAGACATGAAAGCCAAAGTGAATATAGTTTAGGGTGACTACCAGACCGGTTTCTACGACTACTTTATGAATCTTTTTACCGTGCCTCCATCATACAGCTGTTAAAATTCTGATGAATACACTGGGTTAATGTTGTGTTCTGCGGTGACGTTGCGAGGGCTACACCTACGAACTGATATTCTTTCGACATCGCGTGTGTTTCCACAAAACAAAAAGATCGATGGCAAGTTGAACTTGTCATCAAAAAATTGGGATTTTGTGCATATGTAACCGGTACAAGTCGTTCAAATCCTCCTGACTGTATGTATGCAAATACAACACACAATCAATTCGGTTTATATTATTCTATCGACAACCTCACCTGGTTAAATAGTACACTAGTTACTAGCCTGCCAAGCCCGGATAAAGAGGGAAGGTTAGGCATAGAACTAGAAAACCTACCCCGTAAAATCAATTCAGTCGCTAAGGCAACAATCAAAGTACAAAGAAAATATTAAAAAATAAAAACAAACTTATTCTTCGCTGGAATCGGAGAGAGGGAATGAAGCCGGTTGGTGAAAGACTTCGGGAAGCCAATTGGCTGATGTGCCCTCTCTCTCTCTCTCGATGAAAGCGAATCCAAAAGGATTTTTATTGGTTACTTTTCGTCTTTAAACTTTAAAGCTTAGTTGTACTTCTGTAGAAAACCAGAAAACTTGGAGCTTATTTGGTTTCATTAAATTGGTTGGTGCTTTAAAACTCTGTTAAATCGAATACCACAGAATTTCACTGTTTATACGGCTACCTATGCTAAATAAATCAAAGATAATGATTGCATCATGAGGCGACTTAGTTTATTTTAGCAGTCTTTAAAATTGTTTCAGTAGTATCGACTAGGTCAAAATGTCACTACAGGCTTATTGCTTGGTTTAGTTTTTGGATGGCAGGCTGACACAAAAGAAGTAAGTAGTAAAAGAAAATCACTCATATTATTCCAAACAATACTCGTGTAATCTAATGTAGAAATATAAAACACAGACGTATAATAATTCTAAAGGTAGAACTCCGTATTAATTTCAAGTTGGTACTCATCTTGAACTGATATCATTTGGCGAAACATTGGAAACCTGGGAGCGCTAGACAGCCGTTTCATCCTAGTATGGGACTCCTCAGAAGTTCGCACCCATGACCTTCAGGTTTCACGGGTTACTCTCCGTTGACCAATCAGTTTAAAGTGGTAATGTACTATATGCAGCTTTCAAAGCCATAGAGAAGTGACCATTCGTATTACTGAAAATTTTGAAATAAAGAAGTGATAACTAATACGCCACTTCTATGTTTTCACTAATCTTCTACAGATTATACTTAATATAAACGGTTGTATTCAACGCTTACTTTGTGATTGGATATTTATTTTATTGTTTGCTCACTGAGTTGTCTGTTGCTGACAAACATTTTGGTTGTACTGTTAAAATTTGAATTTGTTGCTAATACACCATCCGAAATCTTCCTATACGCCGTTTTGATTTAATGTTGTCGGATATTGGTAAATCACGACATCGTGTGCATTAGAGGAACGTGTACGTCGTTGTAGTCAGATCCGGGTTGACTACAGATTTACTGGTCAGTCACATTCCTTGTGAATCACATCATTTCGAAATTGATAGTAGTGTAATGCTTTTTAACAAAGCAACCTGATAGTACATTTGGTGACTGGAACGAGTTTGAAACCTGGCTAGTAGTTCTTTCATGTAGCTCAACTGGTGAGGCGCTAGGCTGGTGACGCTAAGGAAGATGATTGGAATTTAGCCACGACTCCACCTTATCTTCAACCATCGTCACTATATGCAGTTATGTATTTATGAAATTCACATCATTTTGTAAAAATGATCAAGTGAAAACTTGAAAAAAAGGTGAGGTTATTTAAATCTTACCAAATAACATGCTAAATAAAAACAGAAGTGTAGGGTCGAATCGATTTCCGCTCTTACCCAAATCAATCCCGTCACATCACTCATAAGCTTGTCCTTAAATAAGGGAAACAGCTGTCTGGTGGTACTGATCTGGCCAACGAGTACTCCTGATCGGCATGAGTGGTTTGCAACTAATTGGGGCATAACTCACAACTTCTATACTCATAGTTTTGGTATCATCTGTGGTGTTAAGCAGGTCAGATACTCTGGTCTGAACACAACTGAGTTTCACGCACTTGTTTAGTCCGCATCACATATTTTGGTTTGTAAGCACATGATTCGAATAGAACACAAGTATTAACATGGGATAAAAAAGTATACCAGCTCCAATTACTGAAAATTCAAATTGTTATGCTCTTTAGATGATTTTAAGAAAATATTAAACAATCGCAGTTTTATTACACTACATTTTGAGTTGATTCTTGTTTGTCATTTGTTTCCATAAAATCGGTTGACTCAGTTGAACAATATCCATAGAACTATGGACATTATTGTGTCTCCAATTATCATCTGATATCTAACACCTTTCTGTAAAACTGCTAATATATGACCAAGACAGCTGCCAAAAGTATGGTAACTTGAACTGGTGCACTATCGGCCACATTTTTGCAGCCTGTCAACAATGGTATCCACCAAATTCCAATCTGTACGAAAAGATGGAACCGGTCATTTGGCGTTTACAACAAAACATCAACCGACGCCTATGAATATTCCATTAACACTGACGGCAGCACAGGCGCGCTTACCGACGCCCTATAATAGCTGTATTTCTCGACCTGAAGGTGGCATTCGACTCCGTTGATCCAGAAGTCTTATTGGCAATGTCTGTCAGTGCCGAGTAAGTACATTACCTTATTGAAGGTCCTTTACTGGAACACATGTAGGCGTTAGAGCTTATGGTGAGATATCGGGTAAGTTGTGTACGTCAAGTGGTGTCCGTCAAGACTGCACACTTCCTTCATTCTTTTTCACTTTTATCATAGATATTCTTATGGAGGTCTCCCTCACGTCATTTGACCACACAGACGTTGATCTAATCGCAGGAGAATTTTCGTTAGACCTAGAATATGCAAATGACATATTCCTGTCAGGTAAAGACGCAGACAAGATGCAAAGTATTCTGAACACTTTGATTATGTTTGGGATGCGTTTCTCATCACCTAAGTGCAAACTGTTGCTCCAGGATTGGTGTTCTACGGTGCCACGGCTAACAATAGAGAGTGTAATGGTTGGGTGTGTCGACCACTTATCTGGGAAATAAGATCAGCCATGGTACGTTGGTCAGTGGCCGATGAAATCTCTGCATGAATACAAAAG